AGCTTGTAGGTGTAGTTGCTGAAGTTGCTGTACGGATAAAGTTAGATGCTCCAAAGAAGTCTGCAAACGTGCCAAAGTATTCTGATCTCTAACACTTCCCATATTAGAATACGAGGAAACTTGTGCACTCTTGTAAGCAATGTCTTGTAGATCAGCCTCGAAAGTAGCAGTTATTTGTTCAAACATTACGTTTGTAGCTTTTTGATATGACGGAATGAGTACAGTTGTGAAATTTTCCCTGAACGTTTCCTCAATAACAGGCCTGATAGCCTTAGAGACCCCTTTAACAATTGAGTCTATGACTGGAGTTTTTGCAAGAATACGCTGTACATTTTTTCTTCTTGAAGCTTTTTCTAAATCTGAAGGCATATCGGTATTTTGAACTACTATTATTCAGCTGCTGTTTTATCTTCGTTAATTCCTGTTGATTATTTTGTATAGCTCTTAAAGATTTTTTTATTATGTCATTTTGGTCTTGACTGTTCAGAAGGTGACTCACTACTATTATTCTATTTATAAATAAACACGCGAAATAAACCCCCTTATTAGTGTAACTCATAATCGACCAATAAAATTCAATCTTTATTATGATGTAATCATGTTTATTCAAGCATGATAGAAATTTGTTTTGATTGGCCAAAAAAATAATCGACATTTTATAAATAACTAAATTTGATTGGTTAAAACTAAAGTTTAACCTTACGTTATCAGTTGCCGATTGATTGATTGATATCTAACGCTAACATTTATAACTTACGTGAAATTAGAAAATGCCAAAAATTTAATGTAATTTCTTTGTGTTATATACTGGCATTGTCAGAATCACTTCTAGCAAAAGTTGGTGGAAAACTTGATCTCACTTGATTTCAAATATTTTTATAAAAGCTATATTTCTAAAAAAAAACAATCTGGCGAAACTTTAGGTAACCTTAAATATAAAAAATTTTGACTTGTTCCAATTCGAATTAAATTTTCTACTATAAACCAATATAAAAAGTTCGTGTAACATTACTTTTCAATAGAAAATAAACAACCAATAAAAACCAATTTCCATCATGCCTTTATACAAAATTTTGCTTTTGGGTTGCTCAATAATGATGTTATCGTTATGAGATCAGCTGAGTTTTAATTTGAATAAACATGATTACATAATATCGATATTATAAATCGATATCGATTAGGGATGGCAAAAGTTTTTTAAAAACAGGTGATGATAAATTAAAAAACAGGTGATCATTATTTGATCCAGTATTCGGACTTTAATCATCACATGTTTTAAATAGGTGAAAAAGTTGAAAGTGTTTTAAACTGTTTTTTTTACCATCCCTAAGATCGGTATGAATTGATCAGTATGAATTGTTTTTTTGCATTTAGAAACTTTCGATATAAAAATAAACTATTAACCGGTTCTACAAAAATAGCTTTTTATAAATAGTGATCAGGGATGTCTTAAGAGTAAGGCACTAAGGTCTCCACTCCGCTCCTCTTCGCTTCAGCCCAATTATTTTATTTATTTTTATTTTACTTTTAAAAATTTTTTAATTAGTTATATAGTAATATAATAATTAAAATTAGATTGCAGGTTCACCTATTAAACTGGCGAAACTAGTGAAGTTATGATGCACCTAGTAGCCAATTTGATGACTTGGTTAAGCTGGTGAAATTGAAGCTGATGAAATTAGTGAACCTGATAAAATTGTTGAAGTTAAAACTAGTAAATTCTTATTGTTACCTTCTAAATCATTTTCTACGCATTAATTTAGTCTAATAAATAGAAAGATTATTTATTAATTAAATAATTAATTTGATTAGTAAATTGTCATCAAGAAACGGAAATCTCTGGTATTTTACAACAGATTTTGTGCTTTGGCTATTACATTAGACTTAATATTGTATAAATATTAATTATTATTATAAACGAATGTATTATAATTTTACTATAGACATGATTTTGTTATTAATGCCAGTCTATCTGACTATGCTTCTTATGGACTCCGCTACGCTCAGTCAATTAAAATTCTTTAATTGCATGAAATTTTCCTGTATTTTCAGCTAGAAAATTCCTATCCACCTTATCATGCTCGAAAGAGAAAATTTCGACTAATTTGACCCCAGCAGCTTTCGGAGTAATTTCAGTACCATCTATCATAACAGGAACTAATTTGATATCAGTATTATTATTGAAAATAGCTGTGCCAGTTGTAATATTAGCTTGAGCAAAATTAGTTTGAGCAAAATTAACTTCTTGAGCAAAATGGTGCGTTTGTGTACTTATGTTCAGCCGTTCCATAGCTGCTGTGATATCGACGGTGCCATGAACTAAAGTATTGTTATGATTATGGCCTGATCCACTACCTTGCCACATAGCGATAAAACCTGCAAAATGAGGTGAGTTTGCAGGTGTTTCTGAATTTGCTGTGGGTAAATTAACAAAAACTCTAACAATGAACGTTCCAATTATTTTGCCCGACTCTATAGTCACTTTCACGAAAAACCGATCTCTGTAAAGGTCATCAGGTTTATAGAGTTCAAGAATATAATTTCTTATTCCCTTCAAATCTAATCCTTTTAATTTCTCTAATTCAGGATATGTATACCCAAGTTTTTTTATATCTCGAACGTCTTTAGATTTCCAGAATT